TCGCTTATAAACTGGAAGAGGTTAATTTAATTCGTTCTGTATTATAGTTGGTACCGTATTTTCTAGATTTTAAGACGTCATTTAGTGACAGGTTTTTTAAGAAGGAAAAAAGAGACACAATTTATTTTTAGATATCAAATGTAAGACGCGCCGCGATTTTATACATTTTATTATGTGAAATAAGTGTCTTAAAATCGAGGAAATACGATAACACAGAAATTTGGTCCTTTTTAAAAATCAGAATACAATATTTCGACAAAATAAAGCAAAGCTTTTAAATGGCTGGCCTAATTCAGGTGTGTGTGAAAGAGATTTATTTTGAAGGCGTGTTCCATAATGGAAATGATGCCGGTGGGAGTGTTTTTCGTGTGGGTAATATATCTTTAGTTTCCAACCTACGGGATTCATTACGCGATACGGCGAGCTGCGATTGTCTGTGGGGGTGGGAATGGACATTGAAACTAGGGCCGTTAGCAGAACACGAGGGAGTTCTCGCGCGCTTGTTTTGGACCGCTCCCCATCTTGTTGTAGATTGCTTATCGCTTAGTGACTTGGTGCCACAGCGATTATTCTACTTACACCTTTATTAGTATTAATACCTATTTCGTTATGTGGAAAACCGTTTGATATTACGAGCGACGCCGTCCTTTAAAGAGGTCATCTGCTGTTATTATCCATTTGTAGCATAAGAGAGAGAGAGAGAGAAGAGAAAGTGGGGGGAGGTAGCTGTAGGCACTACTGTTATAAATGGGGGGGGGATCATAAAGTTGTTTTGAGAGCTACGAAGGTTTCCAGGCAATGCCCGCTCGTCCTTTTTGTAGCAGAATCCGGGGGCTTCCCCGGTTTCTCTGTGGCATCCCAACAATTACTCCATTCACACACAGAAGAAGGCAATGGCAAACCACTTCTGGATCATCTGCCAAGAACGTATATGAACAGGTCCCAGTCCGAGAAAAGGATGGAAGGATTCTGTTCATATGGACCTGTCGTCAGACAGAACACTAAATAAAAAAAATAAATTTGATGAATTTAAATCGGGAGGGATGCATGAGAAGCATGCAGTGGCAACTTAGAACTTGGGAACCATCTCAGCATTTGCTTGAAGACAGAGGAAAACATGTGTCGAGATGGTCGATTGCACGACCCTCCGGATGCGCACTCACTACTAGCCAGCGGTCCGGCAAACATAAGAGGAATTTATATTTGTAGCAGAAGCGCTTCTAAACAATATTCAAGAATTCAGTCCGTACCGCAAAGAAAACACAACCTTGACTATAAAACGATCTCTCTCTCCCTCCGCCCCCAGAAATTCCCTCTCACTTCCATCCCTCCAGATTTTCTCTTTGCTTTTATTCTCTTTCTCTACTTTCTCTCTCTTGTTCTCTCTCTTCAGTTTCTAAGGGTTAATACATCCATACTGTGTTACAAGCGACTGGAGGTGCTGAATAAACAACAATTTGACTCAGGCGGGCCGTCCTCTGGGTCGATAATCGAACATCGGTCCTCCGGAACACGAAACAGGATTGGTAACAATGAGGAGTTGAGAATCGTAACAATAACAGTATTGTTTGTTACAAAGTCCACGCTGTTATTTTGTGGGGGTGGGGGGGGGGGGGGTTAAGGTGAGCTGCTGCTGAAACAGGGAACGCTCGTAATCATCATCCAATCGAACCCCGGGTCGCGTAAGAATGTGAATGAAGCGATGATGGGTCAGGAACTAAGAAGCAGACGTTATAAAGTGCGGAGCGAGAGGGTGGGGATACGGAAGGAATTGGGGGGAGCGGCTGTGGATGTTCCCATGCGAAATGCTGTCAAATTCTGCTGCTTCAGTGCACAGACAAATGACCCCCTGGAGTCTTTCCGACTGGACAACCCCGGCTAGAAGCGGAACGGAATGAAGACGGAATCTCACCAGTTCCCTTACCTGATAGCCCACCAGTCATTCTGCTGCTGGATTGGACTTGACTGATGAATGTAAACTGTTTTAGCTACAGAGTTAATTATAGGTCGTGTTATTAGGAGTCGAAATTTTATCCCACCTGCTCCCTGAAGCTTTGGTTAAATCAAAGGACATCTCGTACACGATTTGTTATGGAACTGGGACGGAATTTTACATTTTATTCTGTCAATAGTTCCACCAGTGCTTCATATTCATTGAGTGTTGGGTCAGAAATGAATCTGCGTCTGAGGACTTGCGTCGTTTCTGTCAAATTTGTCAGTACAAGAAATATTCATTCATTTTTGATGCCATAGTCAACGTTGAACGGAATTTTTTCTTGTTTCACGAAGAGAAAATGTTGAATATTTCATTGCTGAGTTTTTTGTTATTGTTATTATTGTTAGTTTTTATTGTTTTTTAATGCCGGAGGGGTGTTCTTCAAAGCATAAGTCTCATATTAATGAGACTGTAGTAGTGCATCTTCAAAATGTGTATTCGTACATGCACACATTTATCTCAGTTACGTAAAATAATTTACGTTACATAGGTGATTTAAGAGATTTCTGTCTGTCTCTCTGTTTGTCTGTTTCTTATACTCAAACTTATAGGAGTCTGTTCATCTACAACATAGGTTAGTTTTAAAATGTGATTATTATTGTCTTTATAATACATCATATGTATATATTTCCTTTAACTTTATTGTTTTACGTTTTATATTTTACTGGACGATGGATAATATTCAAGAAAAGTTTTATTAAAATGAGTCATCACCATCGTCAACAACTTTTAGATTTGTTATTGTTATCAGTTAAATCGAAATTCTGTAATATTTCTCTCATGTTTCATTAAGAATGTGGACCTAAACATTACTCTACAACAATTTATTTACCTGTTCAGTTTCGAATCTCGGCCCGAAAACCACATATCCTGATTGAGATATTTTTTATATTATTTTCCTCAGTTTCTTCAGATACATGTTAAGGCATTGCTCTAATTCTGACATTAACATAATTTTAATTTCATTCCATTTCTCGTAAATATCATAGTATTTCTTTTTGTGATCTGTACAACTAAAAATGTTTCGACATAACTTAATAATCAGTCATATCACAATAAATGTAATAATTATAGTACAATAACAAAATGCATTTATTTCTTATGTTGTCACCATACGAAACTTCTTAACCATAAATTGGATTGTAGTAGGCGTTCTTCTGGTATGGCAGAAGCTCACAGGTCATAATCTAGGTATTTCTGTGGATAGTGGTCTTCTGACTGGGACAAAGTTTGGCCTTGATGGTGGTTCCATAGTTATGGAGGATCTAATTATTTCCATCTTCGCTCATGTTACTGAATTAAGAGTCATAATGTGAGATAGCTATAATTTGCATTATGTGCATTGAATACCTATTTTTTATAATCGCCAGAATTCCAAAATGTTTGAGAAATCCTGTTTTCATCCAAACATTTACAGAACTGTAGCTGCACAGTGCTGACAACTTTGCGGAACACAGACCGTATTTATGATCTCCTCACCTGAGTCCAGGAAGTTGTAAGCTAATTAATTCTGCTAATTAAATGTATGAAGTGAAGTTCCTCCACACAGGCAAAATCTCTCATTATTTCTTCAATTAATTAGATTTATCCCAGCCACTGACTTCAACCACGAGATACGAGAAACCACATATTTAATTTATGTTCCTTAGTCTTATTAAAGCAGAGGTCTGCTCTGAATAATTATCAGCTTTCATCTGCTCTGATGGCCGCCTTCTTTTACGTTGCATCTATACTGAGATATCAGGTTTTTTTCTAGTTTGTGGCATGGAAGTTTCTATTTGTTTCTCTTATCCTTATTACATTATAATGGTGCAGACTGTACAGTCAGCTTATACCATGTCTGAAGAGTCATATAGTGTGTCTAGAAATACGTGTTATGTTGGATTAATTATGATACGGAACACTAGTAACACTCGGTAAGAATATAGCAAAATAATACTATTCGTTTTTCTCATGAGAAAAATTCAAAGTAAACAGATAGTTCTGGTTTTGATCTAACAAAGTTTATTCCTACTCATCTTTTCTGGAACTCGGTGAATAATTACCGTTTCTTAATATCCCATTGCTGACCCTGTATTCTGCCAGCTGACTCCAATGTTCACACTTTATTTCCCTATATATTTCTTTCATAAAAGTGTACCAGCGTATTCATCTCTTATGTTGAGGTTTCATGATCAAATTTTTATGTATGTGTCTAGTCTTGTTATATTTAGCATGCTACGTGTTCTGCCAATCTCGCCTGCCTTGATGTTAGTAGCCCAACACTAGTAGGTGACGTGTCTTCGCACTGCGTAATTTTTCTGTCCTTCTACAAATCTCTTCTCATAACTTTGTTCCTAAAAACATTTTACCTCATAATAACAGTCCAAATTTCACAGTCATATACAATAAGTATCATTACCGTAATTATTATTTACTATTTGGTGAAATTGATGTTCACGCGGCGCTAGAACTCACAAGACAGTTATGTTCGACAAAACTATTGTTGTACTTATTATTACGAATAATCTATTATCATTCTGTTCTCGTTCAACACTCCGTACGACACGGTGTACTTACAGAAATAAAGAAATGAACTATTTCTTTGCCGAGTACTACGCCTTCTCCTTGCCCCTTCTATAAGACGCACAGATTACTAGCGCGGTCAGTGCTTTGGGCAAGATACTCAGCCCAAATGACACGCGCACTTCAACAGAACGTTAGGGGTTAAGACTCTTTTACCATTTGGATATAAATCATGATGACAAACTGACAGATTTCTGCATTCTTGCGCCTTGTAGTCTTGTAGAAGGTGGCTGTCTTTTGGGTTGTAGCACAGTGTAGTCCGGTAGAAGTTTCAGAGGTCTTCGCTGCCTCCATCATCGGGGCAACGGTGCTGCAAACGAGAATATACCCATCTTCGTACTCTCCGCTGTGAGAATGTTAAATTTCACAGATGCTTTTATAATTATTGCCAGGAAATTCTGTGGCTTTAAATAAACCCTGGTGTGTTGTTGCCTTTCAGAGTTGGCGAGGACGGAGACTGGGGAGTGAACAGCGGTATCGAAACGCAGAATAATGAAACGAACTACCAGGTTTCGGGGCTTTACCCCTTCACCGTGTACAGTTTCCGTGTGGCTGCTGTAAATGCAATGGGCCGGAGTAGACCCAGCAAGGAGTCTTACTACATGGTGACGTTGCGAGAAGGTAAGTAACGGCTTAATGAGCCCTTTTTAGGTAATTGCGTGATAGGAAGTGGGTTTAACACTGATATATTGAAACGGTTTAGTAGTGCCTGTAGGCTTTACGGCAAAGCATAGAGTTGAATTGTAAGAACTGTAATAGCTTTATGTCGTAACGAATATGTACAGTGTTCTTTTTTTCCATTTCGAAATTGTATAGTTACCAAACCATTGGCGATACGTTTATGTTGTTTGTATATCTTCTGCTTTCGGGGATGAGCCACGTCGGATGCTAAAAATTATCAAAAGTTTCGGCAAACACTGCAGTTACCAACTTCCGGGAGCATAATAGTTGGGCGTCTTTGAAGCCTTATGTAGGGCAGGAAGTATTCACATTTAACCTCAGCACTGTATAACTTACAAAACTACAGCAGTTTTATTAAGCCCTTCTTGCTTGATAAGGATTTTCATCAAACGTAATTGTATTGGCTTAAGAAGTCCTTTGTACAAGAGAAATATTCTAAGAATCAACTTGTCTGTTGTCACAGTGTTAAGGGATTTAATTTCTCCAGTAGAACTTGTGGTGTGTTTACATCTGTATGCTTGTATCAGAATTTGTATGCCTGTTGGCAAATTACGAGACATCTCTGCATACAAACGCTCATATATTCTGTACGACATACCTGTCACGTTTACATTACTAGATACATTTTGTACATGGTTATTTAACCATTGAATTTACAGTCGCGAAACTGACGCATGCGCAGTTTACACATTTAACCCGCTCTTCTCAGAACATAACGAAAATTGGAGGTGTTATGTGCAATTTCGATCCGTGTGTTTCGTGTTTTATATTACAGTGACGTCATGAACAAAAAGTACTTTTGGTAATTGAGTATATAAGAAAAGGCATTGTTTGGGATTTTGGATCTGAAGCGTACAAGGATAATAACGTTCGCATCGTTATTTCTGAAACAACTGGCAAACGAAGACATCACAATGCAAGGGACTATTTTTTCTTTAACTAAAGTTTCGTATCTCCACACGTATATAAATTTAAGCGTAAGATAAATGCCTCATGTATTTGTAAGAATTACGTGGTTTGTGACAATGCAAGGTGTGAAATGTATCCAGATGTGATTCTGCCTCAAGTGAAATGACTGGCTGTATCTGACACAGGTGTCCGGTACACGCATTTCTACACACAATCCCAGTACAAGAAAGTAAAGTATGAATCGTGGTTAACACTGATACCAACCCAACGTCACGATTTCCTTGTCCCTTAAAATTCTGCGTTTATTCAGATTGAAATAATAATATAGCTTGCAACATTTCCCTCAGCATAGGCAAAAATTTTAGAAGCCCTCTGACGTCATCTGCAGCAGACGGTAGTTTATTATCTTGAGAGGTTATGCTACTAATGAATTCCGTAGTGTAAAAGACAGTTTATGAACGCGCTCCGTTTCTGAACTTTATGACGTCATTGATGGTACTAGTATATGACACTGTGATGAAGTTCTTGAGATTGGAATGGGGAATACACAAGAAACGCAGCTTACTTTGTCATTCATGACATTCAGTTAGACAAAGATGTTAAAGAATTACGTCTTCTCCATGGAATTATTTTGCTACAAGGAACCAAAGCCTTAATTTTATAGTAATAAAGAGCATTTATTATACGTGATTTTTAGGAACTTTGTTGGCCATGGATAAGAAGTTAAAAATAAACCTGTTACTAACACTCGAAAGATGATGCATCCATCGTATTTTACAATGCGAAAAAGAATTAATTTGTTGTTAAACTTTCTTAATGTTTTCAGCGTAAAAATATATATAAGGAGAATGTACGGAAAAAGTACAGTGCTTTAAACGACAAAGTTGAACGTAACTGTTACTTCCCAGCCCTCGGCAGGAACTGCATGACTCACCGCCAAGTATTACAAGATTTTCCCTATTTGAATCAAGTATCGCTCCATAAAAGCAATTAAATCAACTTTCCTGTATTACAGCAGTTAGTGATGGGCGTCCCGAACCGTAGCCGCGCGGTCTGAGGCATCATGCTTCGGACCGGAATGCGCGCTGGTTCGAGTCTCGGGAGAGAAGAAATTTTTCATGAGATTTTCGACCGGTGTGTGGGACCGGTGCCAACCCAGCATCGTGTGGAAATTGGGGAGCTACAATGGGTAGCGTAATCCGGTCATGAAAACTAACAATGACTGGGGGTTCGTCGTGATGACCAAACGTCACTCTCTATATCTGGTTGAATGATCGTTCACCTCTGCTTAGGCATGTGAACGTGAGGCCAGCAGTCAAGCTAGTCGGTTTTGGCTCTCAGAGGTCTGTTACGCCACGGATTATTTATAGTGACAGTTACGTTAAACTTTGAACGCACAGTACATAGAGAAATTGCGTCCGTTGTAGTCAATGCAATAGTGGCATGATGATGAAAGTATAATTAAACACTTCGAACACCATGACGGAGAGGCCAGCACGCCTGCTTTGTGTTTGAAAGGTCCCGGGTTTAAATATTGACACGGAGACTCACTGTCCTTACGTATTTGTCACTCGACATTTGCTTTGGTTTAACCGTTGTTACGGACCGGGAAAGCGTAATCGGCAAAGTGACTGACTATGAGCCGGACTCAAGAGTATTATTCTCCTCGCCCCGCTCCAAGAGCCGTTGTTGTCCACACAGTCCCCTGTCAATTACGTACAGCGTTTTACCTTGTCGGTAAAGAGTATTGTTTATCGCTCATCTCACACCAGAGCCGAGTTTAAGTACACGTGGAGTTTTACCTCCGCTCCCCTTATACTCCTTCAAGGCGCACTGCTTAGGCACTGGGAGAACTTTATCACCTTTGTTTCCGTTAAACAGACGAGAGTCTTATGGTATTTGCATTGTGAAACAACTGTTGTTTTTGAGAACCTGTTGATTCTGCATTTCCACTTGAGAATTATATGAAATGCTGTTCACTTTGTGGCAGAAGTTCAACTGCACGCTTCCCTTCGGGCATTTAAGTTGTGCTTCATAATTTTAAAAAGTGCACAGACTATGAACTGGATTATGTCACATGGTAAATTTTATTATTAACGTGGTATTACATCACTTAATTAAGCATACTCATTCGATCTTACAAGATGCTTACCTGCAATTGCCAATGTGTTATTTGAGTAATGTTCACCGAAAAGCATGCTTAATTCCGTCACTTATATAGCAAACTTGACACTTTGGAAGTTTAGCTGTTTGTTGTATTTTGCAGCTGTAATTTACATATTTCCCATTGTTTGTAAACGAGTAGCTGTTTAATAAACTATAGGAACACTCAATAAAATCTCGGGCAATCAGCCGCGTCACATCAGAACCCTGATGGTGGGGACAGAGTTGGTTCCCGAAACGTCAGTTTACTACGGTAACCATTTGACGCGGCTCTTTGCCCGAGAAGATTTTATTGATTGTACTCGCCGAGAAAGTCTCAAATCCTATAGGAAAACTTTTTATTGTCTCACAGTGGCGAGTACGGATATAAATTTATTCTGGGTTGTAGCCGTGTTTAGTCCGGCAGAATTTTACAGACATTTCAGACGCCCTTGCCGCCTCCATCATTAGGGCCCTACAACCCTGAAGACAGCCATCTGCATTTTTTAAGAACTTATAAACAGCCCTTCAAGGAATCTCTTGCTGTTAAGGAACGAAACAAGTTTTTAACGTTTCCATCAAAGCCCGCTATTTTGCCCTATGTTTTGAGCATGTGAATCTAATCCACATCTAAACGCTCTGATAGTCTATTATTTATGATATGATGTTTTTATACCCCTGTTCTATACATGGCCTATGCCTTTGAGACTTATCACCTAAAATGTTGTACAATTTTTTAATCATTAATGCATGTTACATGTCCCACATATCTCAAAGGTAAGTAAAGGTTTTGGTGTGCAATTTTCTCCATGTCACTTCTTTGTACCAATTTTAAATATTCTGTTATCAGCTGTTTCCTCGAACACCCACAGTCCCTTAGTTGCATAGTTATAATTTATAGCCTTGCTATGTGTTGTGCTCTGAATTTCTTAACGATTTTCAGGTAGTGAAGTTTGAATTTAAATTTCAAATGGTAACATATCAGTTATATTTTTGTTTAATATGATGAAGCTGTAGCTTTCGCTAACGTGGAAACCTGACGAGACCTAGTAGCCCATACTATAAGATAATTGCATTTGCAAAGGGTCTGTCAAGTAAAAGACCATGAAAGAGAAAGTCTGCCTTATTCATTGGTACAGAATTTTGTAGAACTTATCGTATCACACGCTAGAAACTTCGTGACGAGTATACACGAAACATTTACACGCATAAAAACCTTAGCCTTTACTACAAACAGAATCTCAAAGGGCTGCTTACACAATGGAATAATCCTCTTAATGCTTTTGGAGACGTTTTACAAATAACGTCTCTTTTTATCGTATTCGACCTCCTTCACTTTTATTTGACTCAACCTTGTGAAATGTTTGTAGATACAAGAAAAATACCGGTGTGTGAGAAGTCTGTTTCAGCAACTTTCCTTACATGCATTTTCTTACGTTATTTAACGACGTTGTTTCAATCACAAAAATATAGCGTCGAATTCTAAGTGAAGATAATATATAATAGATGAGGATTTGGAAGGAGGATTTGCAGTTATATTTAAATTACTATTCTGGTGTCGGCTTACCTCACTGATTAAAACCATGAAAGTCTGAGATTGAAAGACATCCTAGTAGAGATTTAAACCGGGGACCTCCAGAACTCATATCCAAAGATATACGGTTACATCATCCTGAAATAAAACACGAGGTTAAAAATGAATTGGATAAAATATAGACGTTTATTCGATGAATAATTTTGTCAAGTTAAGCATTTAGTGGCATTTGAGGTTTTGACGGCGATGTGTACAACCCAGAAGATACTCATCTCAAGTCAGGCAGTTGGTAGTCTAACATTAAAGTTTCACACCGTTACTACATTGTGAACTTGTACAATACGCGTCTCTTTCA